ATTTAGAACAAAATTCACTACACTGGATTACGAAATGCTCACTGTTATCATTTGAATGATTTTTAACTTTCATTTGAAATATTGATTTTTACAAGCGCAAAGTAGTTAATTTATCGTAGAAATAAAACAAAGTACCATCGCCAAACAAGTGACGCACAAGACCCTCCAAGCACTGCTTAAGATGCTGCTGCAGAAGATGATAGCAATCATCTGAGTGACACTCTTGCTTTGGTGGATTTTCAACGGGTAAGATGGTATCAGCCGCACTTTGTCTAAGACGATTACTCAGCAGACGTCTTAGCTTACAAAAAATACCATCAGTTAAGGCTATATCAATTGAACGAGTTCATAATTTACCTCGGGTACTTTTGTCAAATAAACGCCTTCCAACTGATGAAAGCAAGGGAAATGGTTACGATCGATTTGGTCTCTACGATAGACGTCTCCAGCGATCAAAAACTGATCATAACCAGAAGCAATGAGTTCACATTGATGGGCACTTGTATGAGTTCTAAAAAACGAGAAAAAAAATAAACAAATCTGTTGTTAGGAATGCAAATGTATTTTCATCGCAACGATTTTTTAAATGATCCTTTTATGAGTGCATATCTATGCCTCGAACAAAATGAAACAACATAAACAACCTTTTATTTAAATACAAGACGAACAATGTGTCAATTTGATAACTGACTAGTACCGACATTTCGGCCCTTGTTTCATCGGCTTTCTTCAAAGTCAGGAGGATGGCTGAATGACTTCGGAAATCTTTTTGTCATATAGAATGGTCAGTACGCGTGGAGTCAGAAGGTTTCAATTATCCATTGATCATAAAGTTTACGTGGTGCATAAATAAAGCGTATTTTATGCTGTCTTCAGCATTACCACAAAAGCATGAATTACTGAGATCAGAACAAAATGACACATTCTTTATTACATAAACAAATACCTATTAAGATTCATTATCAATTTACACATTATTTCATTTATTCACAAGTTTATTCATTCAAACATCCATCCATTCATTCCATCGTTCATTTTCAAAGCCTGCCCTCCTTTTCGAGTCGTAGGACGACAATTTCATGACCACTTATCTCAAGTGCTCCCCCCACCAATCCACAAATAAAACCTCTAGCTACTCGACAGTACCACCTGCAGAATATATTCGAACCATCTGGTCCTCGGTTTACTTCATAGTCATCTTCCCTCTGATTTAGTCACGAAAGTCTGCCTTGCACATCGCTTCTCTGACAATATAGCCACAAGTCATAATGTCAATTGTGATTTCTCGGTCTGAAGAAGGAGGGAGCGGCTCACATGAAGAAGTATCTCAAACTATCTTTTCAGAAACAAGTAGTTCTAATGAAGAACCTCATTTCAGTCGATCGATTTTCGGGACTCCTGATCATAGGTGAGGACAGAGGCGCAGCTAGACCTGGAGAGATAGCTCAACGTTACTGCGTAGCTCTCTCTTCAACATTAAAAACCAGTTTAGCTTCTGCATAACACTGATAGGTATTTTTATGACAACCTTTTTATGAAAACTGTTTTTGAGTAAGACGAACAGCAGATGCTAATTTAAAGTATGAAAATATCGAAAAATAAGAGCACTCAATAAAAGAGAAAACAAGGTACTCACCTAAGCAGGTACTCTGAACTGATGTAGTAAGTGTCGGATAATGCACGGCAGGGGTGGTTTCGGGGTATTAGCAGATTGTCGAAATTTTGCTTCGTGCTTACAACGGGGTTCGTATTTTCAAAGAATTTGAATACAGGTTTGTTGTCATCGTCAAGGTATACCTTATCTATAAAGTCTTGAATCTTCAACTTCAACAGACGTAAGGGCGATCCATCGACTGAAAGTAGATTGCGGCCAATTAACGACAGAATCCATGGAGGAATGTTATAAGTTTTGTCCGTAAAATATTCCCGTTCAAGAACATTCACTGAAGTTGGCCGTATCGGTTTACTTTTTAGAGTTGCACTAACAGTGCAGTAAAACGCGTAGTTTAAGATACACCTTCCTTGATGATGCCGAAGATGCCTCGGAAGGTGGGCAATACCCATGGGCAACTATGTACAAAGTGAACCAGATTTGCAGGTTCAAATCAAGTTTGTGAACATTTGTCTTAGTAGCAGAAATATACAACGTTAGCGAGCTAAAGCCTTGTTCTATGATTTTTCCACTTTTAGCAACTTCCTCAGAAAAACTAATTTTCAAGGACAATATTTAAATTAACTTTCATGTGCTCTTCCTCAAAGTTTCAAGAAGGAAAAGTATATGCACAGTTTTAAGAAAATAATGCAACTATGCAATATTCTTAAGTAAAATTTGACTATAACCAATATTTAGATAGTAACTTTATTCTCATTCAGCCAATAATAGCGCTGAATTTTAGCAAACCTACTTTGTTACATTTATTTCATGTTCTATCGTAGAAAAAAAGGTGATTTAGAAATACCAAATTTTCAAACTATGTGAATGAAAAGTTTTGCATTACATAACGTACCATAAAATGACAAAGCTGTAGCTTTGAAGTTTCAGCTGAGACTTCTCTTTTATGCTTGTATAGTCAGTTTCGCGATACAAAGGGAAAAACTAGTACACGTACATTGCGACGTAAAAGCTAAAACTGGAGATAACTAAAATAAATCACATGGAACTACTCTGTTTTCCATGGAAGCGTTCGAAAGCTTTGTGATTGAAACTGCTTAATAATTTGCGACTCGATTTTATAATATATATAGAAGCAAATACTATTTTATTTTAGCCACATCTTCTGATGGAACTGCGTCTGCTTAGCCCGGAAAAAAACATGTAAGCATGATACTTGACGTCGAATGAAATTATGCATT